TCGATCGTTCATTGCTTTTGGAGAACAATTATCTCGCTTGTCTAAAACCCTGATAACCTGGGAGTTGGCAAAGCCGTGTCTAACGCAGGATACGCTGAGGTTAGCCCTAAACCCGTTTGGAAGTTGTGCTTGTGGTGTAGGAGTATTCTTGCACGGTGCATTTCAGAGCTCACAAGGACGTTCAGCTCATTTTCTAGATATGTCTTCTGCCAAAGGGTGAACGTTGCTTGAGTAAAGGACAGGGTCTGTGAGCCAGTCAGCAGCTCTTTCCATTTGTCACGCTGAAGCTCTGATGACACTGTTCAACCAAATTTTTGGTTTGTTCTTTATTCCAGATTTCTACTGCTTCTGGTGTAGTCTACAAAAGGACCAGCAAAAGGATTGCTTAAGGCAGGAAAGCCAGTCTCTTCCAGTGCACTAAAAATAAACAACAATACAAGTAAATGAAGTAGAGTGCTGATTGTCTTTCCCTCTCTCTTTCTTTGTATTGCAAACACAAAGAATTGTTTTTCGGGGTAATCTTATCCTCAACATTAATGCCTACCCCATTCCTAAAGATCTGACAAATGCTCGGAAAACCAGAATGCAAAAATCAGAAGGGGCAACAAAGCATTTAATGATGCTGCCCCAGTCTAAGTGTTTCAGGATATGACACAGGGCACATTCAGGTGCTGGCTACCACCTACTGAACAGAAGCTCTGTTCAGCTGCTGTCGAGAGAATAGGGCCATCCTCTGCCCAGAGCGTCCATCCAAATGCAAAACCTGATGAAAGTCTTTAGCCCTGTTGCTGGTCGGAGGGCAGAAATTTAGCAGCTTGAAAAGAAGAGAAAGCCAGTTTATCACTCCTTAAGAGATATGCTTTTGTACTGCTACCATGGTTTTCTCATCGGTGTCTCCTCTTGACCCACATTCTTAGAGGACATTTGAGGTTTTAGAGACAGACTCCTGTGGGAAACCTTGGAGCATCTTATTTTCTCAGGGCAATCCTGTTATTTACATAGACTGCATGTGAAAACTTGTTGTCTTGAACACAGCAGAAATTAAATGTAACGGTTTTCGGATTCAGTCTTCCAAATCACTTCTGGCCAGCACCCTGTCCACAAAGCTTTTCCCTTCTCAGCCCCCTTTTTCCAGCTGCCTTGCCTTCTGGACCCAGCCAGCTGCCTGCCCTCACAAGCTGTCAGTACCTAGCCGGGGTGCGTGTCTGGCATACACAGCGGTTCATTGATAATCCAAATCATTTCAGCTATCTTGAATTTTAAAAAGGCTTTTAATTACTTCTTACATTTTTCCTTGATAGAGATTACGAAGCTTTCCAGCTGCAACAAGGCTTCATCCGGGCTTTGCCAGTTTACCCCAAACAGGCTGCACATGTCTTACGAGCTCAATATCTTGCTCACTCTGTTTGCAAGGCAAAGCATAATGCTGAACTCTTAATTAGAAAAACACGCGTCAAATCTGAAACCTGTTCCATCTTGAGACATTCTTTTGGTACTTGCAACAAACAGCTCTACCAGCTTCACAGAATTTCATTGAAATTCAACCTCTTCAGTTAGACGAGGTCACACTGAGAAGTAGCAAGGGATCTCTTCAGGCTGGCTCCTCGTTTCAGTTCAAGTCAGCTAGTACATTCCTCTGTGAACAATCCTGTGACCTCTTGAACATTTAGGTTTAGAACGTGCCCGTCCTGTTCAGAGCTCAGCCACCTACACAGAATGACCTCTAGAGACAGGCACAGGTAAACACTGGACAAGTGTTACACGAAACTAAAGCTTATACTGGAACTAAGGGGAGGGGAGGGGTGTTTTGTCTGAACCATTTGCTCACACGAGAACCCGCTCTGAGGGAGCTGATGCTGGTGACATGGTGATGCCCTGCCTTGAAAACAAAAGGGGAGCAGCTACTACTAACTGGTTGTAGGAGCAACTCCGTTTAGCGTTGTGCAGCTGAGACGTTTTGTTCTCTCCTGCTGCATGTGACCAAGTAACTCCGTGTTACACAGGCGACAGTGCTGTGAATGGAAGGGTGGGATTTTTATCGAGGCTCTCTAGAAAGCATGCAAAGGCTGCTTTCACCTGAGAAAAGAGCATTGCTGCCTTTTCAACATGAGGACATTCTTCAGGCTTGTCTTGAAATGGCAGCACAGAGCAAAATAAACACCTTGGGGGGGGGAAAGGAAAAACTTGTGCAGACTCATCACTAAGAATCCATCTGTTTGGCCTGCATTTGCTAGCGTCGAGACTTCTCAGTGAGAAATAGCACTACGCTAAATTTTATTGAGCGACACCTGCACACTTTACTGATGAGCTGATTACACTGATCAAAGAGCATCATCTCAACTTTAAATTGTTGGCTACAGTGTGTAAAACTCGCTAAAACAACAGGATCCCGCGGTGGCTTTGACAGCTTTGCGCACACCGAGTGGTGGCCGTCTCGCAGCTCGGGAGACGGCAGGAGCTTCCCTTCCCTGGGTGAAAAAGCAGCGCACTGCGGCTGGTAGACCTTTTTAAGTAAGTTCATTTTAGCCTTTGATGCCTGATGAGCACTAGCACCCTTTCTTCCACCTGCATCCCAGCTTCAGCTCTCGTCGGGACTCACTAGGACAGTTTTTTAATTTTAATGTTGGCTTTCTCATTTGTTTGATGACATCTGCAATGTCCTCCCGTGTAAGGAGGTACCTGGTGCCATAGCCCAGTTTGTATTCCCAGCCACGTTTCACTGCGTTTGCTTTTGCAGCAGCCTTTCTCACTTCAAAGTCTGCCGGGGACGTAGGAGTTGATCGGTGTGTAAAAATTCTGACCTATGACCATGCTGCAGCCGACAGCATCGAGCAGCGCGAGCACGGGGTGGGAAGTTTTGCATCCATTTGTTAAAAAATTAACTCAGCTTTGCATGGACCTCTGCACCTCCATCCACAAGTCATCAGAAAAGTGACTTTTGGTTGGCTGAACTCTTCTCCGTTTGCTCCTCCTGAGGAGGCAAGTTTTCACACAAGAAAGAAGGTGGCAGTCACATGGAAGAGCATTTACCTGGACATTCAGTGTACGGGATTTGCCACTCACATTTAAAGCATTCAAAACTTTTCCCTTTCAGAGCCTGCTGTTGGGACTTCGCCTGCCCCAGCTGCGCCCATGATGCAACAGCACAGGCAGAACCTGGAACCGGTGGCTGATTCCTGCCTAGAAGATGCAGTCGCCAGAAGCCAGGCTGGACGTACCACCACGTGCTCCTCGCCAGCCTTTCGGTTGCCACAGGTAGGGTGGCAGCCCCAAGACACACTGGCCACGTGAGCTGGAACAATCCCTTCTTACATTATTTTATGTCTCTGCCTTGTCTCTGCACGTTTTTTGCCCGTTTCTTCACCCGTCTCCCCATCCCACTTTGTACATCTGTGTACACCAACATGTTCTTGGAAGAAGACCTAATTTCTTGTGCGGCACCCAGATTCCTGGTCTGCCTAAGCCTTCACAATTGATTGTTTGGCATGGCTTTTCCATCAAACTTGTCCTGCCACTCTTCTGTAAAACATTACGAGGACTCAGAGCAAGTATTTTTAATGTATAGAAGTATATTCTCTGTCAGCTCTTAAAAGCTAAGGAGAAACTGCTAAAAAAAAAAAAAGGGTGCATGTTTATTTATTGGAAACTTTCACTGGGAACTTAGCAAGTATTTTCATAATTAACCACGATGGCAGTCCAAAGTATAACACTGCACGACGTGAATTGTAAGGGTGCTAAAAAACAAAGAAAAACCAGACAGCAGTACTGCCACATGTATGTTGTTCTTCATCTCTGTCAAATGACATCATAAAAAATACACCAAAGTCTTCTGAAAATAAACTTTAATATAAATACAAAGCCAACAGAATAAAAGATGAACTCAGTTCTGTCAACTTCTCGACTAATTTCTGAAGAAATTGCCCTAAGTCCTTAAAAGCATTTTGCACTTTACTTGCATCGCTATGCTGAGGCCCTTCAGAGAAAAGACAAAGCGAGAGTCCTGCCTTCAAAGAAATCCCCGATAGTGGTCGCAGGCATCAAAACTAAAGGTTCGCATTTGCAGAAGTCCTTGTCTTGTAAATACCCGCATCAACAGAAAGCAAAGCCCATACCGGCTTTTGAGCCACCAGCTCTGGTGTCAGCTGAAAAAGAACCCTTTGGGTAGGTGACAGTAGGTCCATGTCTCACTGCAAACAACCAGTGTGATCTGCAATGTACCAGCTGCGTTTGCCAAGAGAATGCCAGGGCAGCATTTAAAAGACGAAGTCAGCATTGCCTGGCACTGCAAGCAAACTCTGAATTTCACAGTAAAGTTCACCAGTTCCCTGCCTGTGCCCCCGTTAACACCAGTTCCTCTGTCCTGAGCTTGAACTATGGCCACAAGTCATTGAGCCCAAAAGATGAAATAACTGAAGGCAGGGAACCTTTCGAGAGTTTTTCCAAGAGGATTTCTTCGAGTAACATTAAATCCCTAATAAAGCTCATGAACAGTTTTACTAACAGTAATCTCCAGTCTCCAAAGCGGCAGCATGTTAAAGACCTAAGAGATGACTTCAGGTTTTGGTTTTGTCTCTAAAATATTTGAAGGCAGAGTGGTGAGCTCTTCAGCAGCACCACATTTAGAGTCCCAGAGAATTTGAAGTCAAAAAGAATTTCATAGCCTTCTGGCCCATTTTTCTTTTTTTCCATTTAGAATAAAGTCTTACTCCTGAACTATCGCTCCTGTGCCCAGAAAATGGAAAGTGTTCTACACACAGATTTCTGCATAAACAAAGTTCATGTTTAACTGATACCAATCTCGGTGTGTTTTAGCAGAAGCTGCCAGCAGTATCAGCTGCCCCTGTTCAAGCAGCGCGTCACTGGGAGGGAAGGAGAGCGCTCCGTGTTTTCCACCAACATCCTCTACGTCCATTGCTACTGGGCCAGAAATTCAACAAATGCTCCAGCCTGAAATAGCTCTTCAGCACCAGCTTTCGTCCAGCTCTGCCCCATCGCCAACTGAAGGCTAGAAGGAAGTAATCTCTACAGGGTTTCTACACGGATGCCTCTCAAAGTGACGCTCAGTGAGGTATGTCAGTTAATTTCTATTTCTCTGTCTCAGCAAGAGCCAAAGGCACAACCCTCGGCAGAAAGGCACTCAAGTCCCAGCGATCCGTGGGTCCAGATCCGCGTCCTCTGAACAGCGAGCCACGAGGATTCCGTTCGCTGAGGGCTCTCGCTCAGACACGCACACTCGTCACGTTGCCTTTTTCTGCCGCCAGCACATACCCGTGTGGAGCAGCGGCTCCACAGCTCAGGCTGCCCACCGCTTCCTGCTCTTGATGCTGAAGCATGACTTGCTGGTAGATGTTCCTGGCTTCTCTGGCGTCGTTCACGTAATTTCTGAAACAAATTACAGGCAAGATTTTATCAAAGAGAGTTCACAGAGCTTGGATATACCCCAAAGTT